GTGTGTGTGTGTGTGTGTGTGTGTGTGTGTGTGTGTGTGTGTGTGTGTGTGTGTGCGCGCGCGCGCATGTGTGTGTGTGGAGGGGCAAGGCTGGGCATGCAGCAGGACGGGCTTACCTCAGCTGGTCTGGGCTTGAGATTGATGTGATATGTCTTGGTTGTGGGGTAGTGGCGTCTGCATGTGAACACGTGAGGCTGGTGGCATGAGCCGGCATGCTCCTCATCCTCCTGGACCCTCAACACCGCGACTGACAGCCAGGTGCTGACATCAGCCGCGACGTGCAGCTGAGCTGCGGTGAGCACACCAACTACGGTCTGTTGACCCTGGTCAACCAGGAGGGCCACGTCAGCGCGCTGCAGGTGCGCTGGTGGGGGTGCACCAGACTGGGTGTGGGCACGGACATACGCGCGTGAATGTGAGTGAAAACAATTCATTTGCGGGGAAGAGAGGGTGTGTGAAGGGTGTCAGGGTGTGTGTGTGGTGTGTATGACATGAACCAAATCGCGCACAGGCCGCCGGCATGTCAAAAGAGGCGGCTCAGAATTCCCGCCTGGGTTGAGGACAGGGAAGCATGCGCGACCAGGCCCAAACCAGCCAGCCAGCTGCTGCGGCGGTCACGCGACCCAGAGCCGGGCCAGAGGTCTCTGTGATTATCTGTGCATGACTCATGCCGTGACTTTGTCACAATTTGCGCGCCCCGCCTGTTGTGCCCATCCGTTCCGGGTAAAGAACGCGCCCGGCCAGTGGCTGGACGCCGCACCCATTCCGGGGGCCTTCCCCCTGCAACGCCGGTGCGGGCCCCCGATCGCCCCCCGCCTGCGCGCGCCGACCCCAGCGCGTAGGCCTGTGGCCTTGCAAGCCAGCCAGCCGCAGGCCCTGCTTTTTGCCCCCCATCGCCATGCCATGCAGCCGCCAACAATGCCCGCCTTGGCTGATGGCACACCCAGGCCTTTACACCCCGGCCCACACACGGACCGTGCTGCAGCCGCCACTGGCGCAACGCCGCCCCTGGTTTGTCCACACCGGCCTTCCCATTTGCGGACACGATCATTGCAAACCCCTTCACCCTGCTTACTCACGCCCCCGCCACCACCAGGCGACGTGCTCCAGGCGCTCACCAACGGCCTCTACACCCGCACCCTGCACCGGGTCCACAACACCGACCCCGCGCGCTCACGCCTCTCGATCCCGTTCTTCTACGAGCCGGCCTTCGAGGCCACCATAGCGCCGCTGCCCCAGTCTCATGGCCGCCGCAGCGTGCCGCGCGGCGGCCAGCGGCGCGGGGCCCGCCGCGCGCTTCCCCGCAATGCGCTATGGCAGCCACCTGGTGTCCAAGGTGCTGTCAAACTTTGAGCTGTAATGGTGACGTTTGAAGCAGGGAATTCTAGTGACCCTCCGGACAATTAGGCGCCGAGTCGGCTGGGGGTGGGGCCAGGCCATGATAGATAGATAGATAAGTTACTCATGCCATAGCATCACTGCCATGCCCTGCGCTCATCAGAGCGGACCTCCTCATTCCTAACCTTCCAACGGATCTGCCAGCAAGCATACACATAAGGGGCAACAATATCAGCAAGCACAGAGCCACCAAGAAAATCAAAATCAAGCGAGTTGTAAGCCTTGTCCTCATTCTGCATCTGCTGCAACGTATGCCAACATTCAGGCCATGATTAACAAGGTTGTGAGAAAATGCTGACAGTGCTTGCAGTTGGGGGTTGGGGAAACGAGAGCGGGAATGAAAACAGCATTGAAAGACAAAGAATGCTAGGAGGAGTGCTTAGACTCCAGCAAAGTTTGCATCTCAGCGCTAGAGCGACTGGCTTATGTTTGAATTGACAGGGAGCCGTTGCCGAGGCACAGTGTGTTGCCGCGCGTTGCAAAGCCTGGGCCGCATTGCAGTGATCTGGGGGCTCAGCTGGTGGGCCGTCACGCCGACGCAGCAGCCGCGTGAGGCTCAAAACGACGACGCCAAATGGCGCGACGCGGGTGCTAACAGCGGACGCAGGCCAGCCCAACGGCGGCAGTCCTTGCCCAAACTTCTCTTGGCTTGATTGCTGCCACGCACACCCAACTGCACGCGCCCGCGCTGCGAGACTACCGCGCGGCCGCCGCAGCCGCCGCTGCCGCCGCCGCCGCCGCATCGGCTGTCAGGTCCCGCAGCCCCGCCTGCACGCACGGCATCGAGGGCACCCACGGCGCGCACGCAAGCATGTACGCCGCAAACTGCTCCGGCCTCGCGATGCTGCAGAAGACGACCAGCCACGTAATGAGGAAGTTCCAGATACCCTCCTGCAGGTTGAAGTCCAGCGCCGCAACGTGCTGCGCCCGCCGCGCCGGGTCTGATGCGCCACCCGCGGCCGCGGCCGCGGCCGCGGCGGCCTCGGCCATCAGGCGCGAGCGGTCTGCGTGGATGCGCGCAATCCGCTCGCCCCAGGCGTCGAGGGCGGCGAGGGCGTCCGCGAGCTGCGGTGGGGTTTGAGGGGCAATGTGCAATGGGCAGTGTTTGAATGGTCGAGGCAATGTTTGGATGGTAAATACTACCACGCACGCAGTCCCTGGATGAAGGCCCACCCATCGGACGACAAGCGGGATAGTGCACCCAGGCGCGTGCAGCACGCGCAGCCTCGGGCACGCGCCCCCCACAAGGCCGCGGCTGGCGCGCTCGCCGCCAGTCTCATCTGCACTGCATGCTCCGACTCGCAATGCCTCAGGCCGCAGCGGGCCCAACGCCCCGGCCCTGGCCACCTCACCTGGTCGGGATCGAACGCGAGCCGCCTCGCCGCCGCCTTCCAACGCTCGTCGCTCGGCGGCGGCGCCATTGCCAACGTGCCGGGGCCGGAGAGGGGCGTGGCGAACAGGCGGGGCAGGGCGCCGCCGTCCCGCAGCGACAACAGGACAAGGTGAACAGCAAAATCGGAACGCAGCGCGCCCAGCCGCTCCACGGCCGCCGCCGCCGCCCCGCTGCCCAGGCCCCTCGCTGCGCGAGGCTGCGGGGGCGGATGGTGGGGTGGGGAGGCATGGATTCGTAAAGGGGGTGAGGAGAGGGGCGCGGTCGGGCCCGTCCTGGGTGCACGCGCGAGGGGTGATGGATCCTCAGGCGGCCAATTGTGGATTGTGAGTGTTCCAGCAGTGCCTCAACCCCTGTCTGCAGCACTATTTGGGCCCCGTGCGCACATGCGTGCCGGCGCCGGCGCTCACGGCAGCAAGCTAGGGCTTTCGTGTAGGAGAGTCCGCAGCTTCGCAATGAGCCCTTCTTGGGACAGGTCAGCTGACCGGGCCGCTCGCGCCGCCGCAGCGGGCGACCAGCCCAGCAGCGGCTGCCGCAGGCAGGGCGGCTCACGCTGCTGTTGCTGTTGCTGCTGCTGCTGCTGCTGCTGCCGCTGCTGTTGCTGCTGCTGCTGTTGCTGCCGCTGCTGCGCCCCGTCGTGCTGCTGGTGCAGTTGCTCCCTGCTGGGCTCCGCTGTGCCGTTGCCGGCGCTGCTACGCGCTTCGGCCGCGCGCATAAGATGTTCGCCGAGACCCTGCCACACCAATATCGAGGGCTCGGCGCTGGCCAGGGCCCGAAGCAGACCCAAAAGCTCCCACAGGGCAGCATGATGCGCAAGCATGAGGCATGTGGCGGCCTCTTGTGCAGTCTGAGCGCCTGCCTGGAGGGAGCACCGCTGCACCTCGCTCTCCGACTCGTCTGAAGACATTCCTCACTGCCGTCCTTGCAATGGCCCCGCTGCGGATGCCTAAAGCAGGGTTCGGGCGCAATACAGCTGGCGACGTCGGGAGGGACAACTGCCGGTATTTGGTAAAGGTCGTAGCTGGCGGTTTTTACATTCACAACCACATGGTGATGGAGTGCATGCCTGTGCGCGCGCCCGGCCACCTGGGCAGCAGCGGGTGGTGCTCGCGTTTGCGCGCGTCTCACCGTGTCGCAGGCGCTGGAGCGCCTCTGGAAGGAGGAGTGAGGGCCGGTTCCCAAGAGTGCGGCCAGGCACTGCAAGAAGTTACGGGAGCACGTGGAGCCAGAGGCGGGTGTTGAGGACGCCGCCGGGCGCAGCCGCGAGGTTGAGCTGCCCGATGAGGTGGCCACTGACGGAGGCGGCCAAGCTCGTCAAGGCCGGCTTTGAGGTCAGGCCTGTGCGTGGAAGTCAAAGCCTGCCGGCGCGCCGCGACGGCTTCCGCACGCACCGTCGGCAACGCCGAGACCCCGGGCTGAAGGAGATCCTGGGCCGTCATGACATCACTGCTGACCACCTCCTGCGCCGCATGCATGCTGTCAATCCGGGGCTGCACTGGGGCAAGGTGGATGTCAAGGCCGCGCTGAGAGACGCACACACGCCCACTCGCCTCACATGCGCGCCAGGTGCTGGCCTTGATAGCCCAGGGTCCCAGTTTCTTGGACCGGGTGGTGTGGCCGGACGAGGTCAACGAAGACCTGGCTGTTCTCATGGAAGGCCTCGGGCGTGCATATGTGATGTGAAGCGCATGATCAGGGGGTGCTGCTGGTGGTGCCTGGCTGTGGCACGGCCGGCGGCAAACCTGTCATTGTGGTCGTGTATGCCGCCGTCAACGCCAAGCGGGGCCTGGTCAGCTGGCGGCACACCATGTGACCTACCCCACCACTGGCATCCCTGACAAGTGGCAGCAGCGGGAGCACAGGCGCATCGCTGGCGCCACAGAGCGCAAGGACACTGATTACAAGGTGAGGGCTCTTGGGGGGCATTGCGCGAGTATGCATTGCAGGAAGGCCCAGGCGTTTCTATTGCCCCGCACATAGATACCTAGAGTAGGCACAAACCCAGAAGTCAGGATTAAGATAGGGGCCGCCGGGGCGACTGCCCGCGCTGCGAGCGCGCGCTGCAGCGCCTCAGCAGCAGGGGGGGCGCCGATGCCACAGCTCTGCACTCGCACTGAGCCCCCTCCAGCCCGCCACGCTGCTGCAATCATCTGGGCGTCGGTGGTGCGTTGCTGTTCGGCCAGCGGCATATATGCACGGGCCCGGGCAAAGTGACGGGGACCATCAACCTTCGCGGCCAAGCCGGCGGCGGCACTGCAGAAGTCCAGTTAACCATGCCAAAATGGCAGTTTGGGCTGGGGCGCAAAGGCACCGCATGGGTGCAGGCTATCCATGTGCCGGTGCATCTCGAGTGTGGTGGCGGTAAACGCTCGCATACGCGCAGCCGCGAGGCCCTAGGCTCGCACCTTCTGTTGGCACAGCAGTTTGCATTGTTGGGTTACAGCGTGGGGGGGTCATTGGTAATGGCAGCGCTCACAGCTGAGCAACAAGTTAAATTTCTAATTTTTTTCTCCTTGAGCGCTGTGGCTGAAGGGGCCGGCCCCGTCTGCTGTACGCTTATTGAACATTCCGCAACTGTCAACCCAAATATGGGGGTTCCAAGCATGGCATCCTGCATTTAGGAACCAAGCAACGCTCACATTTCCACCTTCTTGCTGAGCCTCATGATTCCACACCTGTGCGCAGCCAGAGAGTGAGAAGCAGGCGCCGCGCGCGGAGGATTTTGTGGACATCATCGAAGTGCTGGCGCTGCAGGCAGAGCGGGACTGCAGCCGGCGGGGAACACTTGTGTTCCCCAGGGATCAGCTGGAGTGACGCCCGGGTGACACCCCCCCCTGGCACGCCGCCCTCTTTGGGCGGCAGGTTCGCTTCTTTTCTCTTCTCGTTTGCACGTGTTGTGCGCTGCTGGCCACAGAGCAGCAGGTGAGCGCACCATTCTCTCTCCGCGCTTGGCGGCGATCAGCATGCGAGCACTAGGCGCACAGGCGCCACAGGCTCGATCCCCTTTCTCTCACCACCTTTGTGCGTCGCGATCGCGCAGGCGCGAGCACAGGTTTTTCACTCGGGCAGCCAGGCGCATTACAGCCCTTGCTGGCCCACATTGCAGGTGTGCGGGTTGTAGTACCCCGCCTGTGTGTTTGTGCATGCATGTAGAGCGCTGGGCAGTCGATAGCAGCCTGGGCGCGTCTCGTTTGCACGTGTTGTGCGCTGCTGGCCACAGAGCAGCAAGCGCGAGCACAGGTTTTTCACACCCACCCTCCCAGCCCTGGGGGGAGGGCAGGCGCCGCGCGGCGCGCCGAGCCGTTGCGTGCGCTGCAGCAGCGTGCAGGTCGGGCGGCGGCCGGCGGGCCTGACTCTTTGGGCACTTGGGCATTCAGTTGCCCCATCCTACCCCCACACACTTCGGTTGTAACCTGGAACCCGCGAGCGCACAGCTGATCTGGCTGGCATACAGCATGCCCCCGTCATGTCGTTTGACAACGCCAGCATCCACAACACCGAGACCGCGGCGGCCGTGCTGCCGCGGTCACATCCAGCGATTGCCTTGCGCTTCCCTCGCGCAGCCCTGACCTGCACAAGGTCATAGAGCACACCTTTGGCCGCCTGAAGCCTGCGGTCTGCAGTGCTGTCTGTCGCTGATGCGTGCTGTGAGAAGGGTGTCGCGGAGCTGCTGCCTGCAGAGGCGCGGTGCATCATCGAGGGGTGCCTGGTTCAAGCAATGGCACGGAGACGATCGCGCGCGAGGTTGCGTCGCTCAAGACCACCTTGACAATTGTTTCACATGATCACAACATTGTGTTCTTTGTGGGTGAGAAGGAGTTTGTGGGCACTAGCGGCGACGGGGCGCCGCGGCGGTGGCGGTGAGCTGGTGGCTTGTGCCGCCAGATTTGCGCCAACGGCCGTAAATTTCGAGGGGCTGCGCAAGCCGGTCGTCTGCGATGCAGGGTTGTTTGCATCTATGATGAACCCTTGCGCCACACACACGCTTTTTGGATGCTACCTCGAATTCCTGGTAATCAGATTTCACATCAAATCTGGCCTGTTATCGAGTCACAGCTGCAGCTGGCAAGCCCTAAAGGTTGGGCCCGCAGCCCGCAGCCAGCACATCAGCCAGCCAGCCGCCCCATCTCAAAATATTCACCAAGGGTTTTCCACATCATACACCAGCTCACCTATCAATTGGCCACAGGTCGGCAGGGGCAGGGCGCCTCGTCACTGCTGGGCGTCACTAGCAGCGACGCCGACAGTGCGACCAATGGGGCTGGTGCTTTGCAAAATCACATTGAAAATAGTCTGTGCGAATCATTTTACGCGAGTCTTGACTTGCTGAGATCAAGGGCGCGGCGTCACGTGAGCATGCCCCTTGGTCTCCACGGTGGGGGGTGTGGCTCACCACACACACCCCTCTCCTTAACCCGACGCGGCGCCGCTTGCAGCGTGGCTTTTAGCTGCGCGAGGCGTCGGCGTAGTCTCTCTCTCTCTCTCTCACTCACTTGCTAAGAGTCGCGCGCAGAACTCCTGGAGATGAAACAGCGGCGAGGCCAGCGCGGAGCCGCAGGCGTGCGCGCAGGCGCAGTAGGGGCAGCGGCCGCCGCTGTGCTGCTCACCTGCAGGGGCTTTACAGCAGCCGAGTCAACTAACATGTGGCACGTGCAGTGGATGTGCTGACAGTATCCTTTGACCTGCCCCTGCTTCCTGGTCCCGCGCGCGAGGGCGCGACACTGCGAGCGGCGCCAGCCGCAGGGGCGCCCAGCAGCAGGAGCGTGCTGCCTGCAGGGGTGGTGGGGGCGGGCGGCAGCGGCGCGAGCAGGGGAGTAGTCAGGACATTTCCCCAGGTGAGGGGGAAACCAGGGGCCTGCCTGGCCTCATGTGACCGTGGGGATCTCGGCCCCCTTCATCCGCCCATGTTTCTGAGTGTACGACGGGTGCGGGCGTGAAGCGCGGTAGTTTAAAATGTGAAAGCGACCGGTTGCCAAGGTGGCGGGGAATGAGGATCCTGGGGCGGGACCTGCCACGCCAGCAACCAGGTGG